TTCCAGCTTCCACGTGTAGGCACCTGGGCTTCCTGCCCCGCCTGCCCCTGTTCTGTCCCACAGCCCATTTTATAATGCAAAGCACCACCACCAACATGGCTCGTTATTTTCCTCTCTGAATAAAAGATGAACACATCAATTCTGTGTCAGCCGCTTTCTAATGCGTACCCTTGTCACGCTGACCTCTTTCTGCTTTTATATTTTTCAGTACCATCCTGACATTTGTCAACTGCAGCAGTTCCAAACCTTTCCACCCTATGATCCTGTTATTTTAGCACTTTTCCGACCCTCCCCCTGTCTAATTAGTTTGACCTGCGGGCTCCGGGGGTGGCACTCACCACTGTTTGTAGTCTGCGTCACAGTTGCAGTAGTACTTGGGGTCCGTGCAGTTGCGCTCGATGCCACAGGCGCACTTCTGAATCCCAGGCTCCGAGCCCCCCCAGTAGTAGTGCTTCTCGTTGGCTTTGCCAACCCACCACGTGTAGGGACTCCCATCTGCAAAAGAGGGAAGGCGCGTTGAGAAACAGGTCTGCTCAGACAGGCCAAGTGCTGCCTCCTCCAGGTGCTCAACCTCTTAAAAGTACATTCAGTAAAAAAGAATCCGAGGGAACGGAAAGCTCAAGCTTTGCCGCTGGTACGTGGACGTCTTTCCCCAAAGAAACGTGTTGGTCCTAACTTCTACAACAGGAGTAGGATTCCTAAGTTGTTAGCCCAGCTGAGACCAGTCCACTGTGGACGGACCTGGGCCAGGAGTTGGTTCCGTGACACACAGCTGACTTCATGGCTGCTCTGACTTTTCTGGGAGTAGATAGTCCTGGGGGTGGGGGACTACTAGAGCCAATGTGGACTTTCACTTTTTCTAAGTCTAGCCTCTTAATTTTCTTCTCTCTCTCTCTCTCTCTCTCTCTCTCTCGCTCTCGCTCTCGCTCTCGCTCTCGCTCTCTTTTTCGATACTGGGGATTGAACCCAGGGATGCTTAATCACTGAGCCATGTCCCTAGCCACCCCCTTTAAAAATATATTTTATTTAGAGACAGGGTCTCCCTGAGTTGCTTAGGTCCTTGCTAAGGTGCTGAGGCTGGTCTTGAACTCACCATCCTCCTGCCTTGGCCTCCCAAGCTGCTGGGATTATAGGCATGCGCCACTGAGCCTGGCTGGCCTCTTAATTTTCTGAATAAAGAAACTCCCATCTAGAACGTTCAAGCAGTTCTTTTAACCTCCCAGCCAATTACCTCCAAATCTAGAATTCCGACCCAAAGCAGGTACATGGGGGTGACACACTGTACAACTCTCTCTATACAGTCTGGCCTTTGTACCCACAGGTTTCTACCCTTGGGATCAACAAACTGTGATTCTAATATGTATTTTTTAAATTTAAAAAATTTAGAAAATTGTCTGTACTGAACATGCCTAGACTTTATTCTTGTCATTATTCCTGAAACAATATAGTATAACAAATTATTTACGTAGTGATGTACTGTACTAGGTCTTAGACATGGTCTACAGATGACTTAAAATACACAGGAGGATGCCCATGCGTAGGTTATACACAAATATTGCCCTGTTTTAATTGAGCATCTGCAGATTTGGCATCTGCAGGAGTTCTGGAGCCAACCCCTAATTACTTTCCTTTATTATTTGGCTGAGTAGTCACTCATTTGTTCATTCATTCATCCAAATCGCAAACATCTATTGGGTTTCCTTTATGTGCCAAATAAAAGTAACCCAGCCAAGCAGTGGAGGAGGAAGGTGCAGATTGGGAATACAGTTTAATAAGCATTCTGAACATGGAAGAGGGAAGGGAGAGAGGTCATAAAAGAAGCTGTCTCAGAGGAGGCAGACCACACGCTGTGTCCTGAAGGTCGAATGGGCATCACCCAGATGAGCAAGGACCTAGGAGAGGTGAGGGGTCTGTGCGAAGGGAGCAGGGAGTTAAGACAGAGGGGAAAGTTCTCTGTGCAGAACATGTGCCGGAGCACGTGCATTGGGGTGGAAGAGGCTGAGGGAGGGTAGCGGCCACAGTACGGGCCAGCCACTAGGGCCAGCCTGCAACAACAGCAACGACTCTGTCCAGGGAGGCACTGGTCTATTCCAGCTTTTCAATGCCTATTTCTCCTCCATTTTAAAGATTTTGAACTTTGTACTGAAAACAATGAAAAACCATAAAGGATGTGCAGCCGAGATCATCACGGTCAAGTTTGGGTTTCAAAAGATTGACAATAAGGGAAAAGATGGATTTCTGTGGGATGGAGTTAGGGAGGCCAGATGTGATGCCCCCTTGTTAACACAGAAGAGAAATAATAAATAGTAGTGGAAAAGGAGAGAAAGAACTAGACAGCAAGAGATTTGGGTGGTGCACCTGGGCTGGGAGATTGGGGTTGGACAGAGCGTGAGCAGAAGGTATTGTGGATCAGTCTAGGGCTTCTGGCCTGAGAGACTAAGGGCGGGGGAATAGGGAAGGAGGTCAGGAATTCAGGGAATGTTGGAAAAAGTTGATGAACTTGATGCATAAAACAGTTGACTGTCCATGTCTGTATCTCAGGAGCATTTTCTGAGCGGAAAATTCTGTTTCAGAAGCCATCAGGGCAAACCAGAAAATATTGGGAGTGGCAGAGATACAGCTGGAATCTTTCAGATCACAAAGCTTTCAAAAAGACGCAGAAGGAGAGGACCACAGTGGAGGTCCAGGAAGAAGGCAGTGATTGGAGGGAAAACGAAGGAAGGATTTCCAAAAGAGCGGAGTGGCCAGCATTGCCAGATTTCATAGCAAAATCCACTAAGAGGAGGGTATACAAGTCTTCTTCTATGTGACAGCGAGGAGGCCATGGAGACTTTATTGAGAGGGTTTGCCAGTGAAATGGGGGAAGAAAAGCCCAGAGAGAGCCAGCTGAGAAGGGAACAGAAGGGGGACAAGGAGGCCCGACAACAGAGGGCTTTGTTCCAATTTTATTTTACTGTGGTGAGAGTACTTAGCATGGATTCTCCCCTCTTCCCAACTTTCTAAGTGCACAACTCAGTATTGTTACAGGTGTGGCCTGGTCCAACAACTCTAGAGCCCACCCACCCTGGGGAACTGCAGCCCCTGGGCCCATTGGTTGGTAATGGCTCATTCCCCTCTCTTCCCAGCTCCTGGGACTTAGTGTCACCCTCTGACTATTTTAGATACCTGCTATATTTGGAATCCTGCAATTCATGTGTATGCATTTTGCTTTCTCTTCCTATCTCTACTGCTACCTTATTATTTTCTCTTCCAAAATAGTGTTATTTTCTACAAGGAAGGAAATTCTGCCATACACAACAACATGGCTGAACCCACAGGCCATATGCGGAGATCAGATCACTCTCAGAGGAAGCTGGGAAAGAATGGACTCCAGTGGAGGTAGTGCCAGCCAGGGAGGCTAAGAGGCGAGTCCATTGAAATCTCCAGGCCTCCGGATTGGAATTCCATCACGTTAATTCACCTTCCTCCCTAGATGCTAAGTGCGCACTTGTGTCTGTGAGTGCTCAGAAGAAAGATGTGGAGTCCTGCACTCATGAATTCTTACTTGAACTATCACAACATCCAAACAACACAATAGAGTAAGGGTGGATCATAATGGAGCTACGTAAAAGCTGCCATGGTCCCTTCTCTGGTATCCCAGCAGCTTTCAAGAGCAATTTTGTTAAAATGTGGGCAATTTAAAGTCACTGAAAATGGACAGGGAATATGGTCCATGCTCTGTGTGATGGGATGGTGGATGTTCTCATCCTGGAAATGCGTTGTCCATGCATTCTCCTAGTGCAGAGAAATTGCTAGATTTCACTTAATTGGAAAAACTGACTCTTTTTCCTTGGAATGAGCCTTTCTAGAATTTCAGAAGACATACTGGACTTGATCCGATAAAGAGTAGAGAGGGAGATTTCCCTATTCTATTCCAGAGATGAATAAGCCAGCTCTCTGAGATAAGGTCTACTTTGAAGCCGTGTCTGCTGCCCATCTGGGCCTTTCCCAGCACCTGGGGGACTTGTGTTTGCTTCCCACGTTTATTATTTTGTTTCTCCTTTCTCTGTCAGGGTAAAGGGCAAAACACCCAATGTTTTATGCTGCCCAGTATTGAAAACATGATTAATAATACACTTTTGATTCCAGAGTTTCAAAAATGAAGGCTTGAAAAATACCACTTATGACAACTGTCCAGTGTGAACCATCCCCAGAGAGGTGATTTAGCCCCAGAACTGCTCCAGGTTCATGTGGGACCCACCTCTGGCCCTGTTACAGGAAAGAACAAGGTGAAAATCCAGGATGACCTGGCAAAAGGCTCATCAGGCCTACCAGACCTCAACTTGACCCCATGACACAGAAACACCACCAGGTTGGTTATCGGATCTATTTATGTATTTATTTATTGCCTACCAAGGATTGGACCCAGGGGTACTTATCCACTGAGCCACATCCCCATCCCTTTTTAATTTTCATTTTTAAATCTTAGGACAGGGTCTCACTAAGTTGCTTAGGGTCTTACTAAGTTGCTGGCTTTGAACTTGTGAACCTCCTGCCTCAGGCTTCTGAGTTGCTGGGATTACAGGTGTGTACCACCACACCTGGTTTATTGCATCTTTTCCGGTTGACCTAACTCTAAATGCTTTATTCCAAAGGAAAGTTTGGTTAATATCATTGTTTTTTGGAAACTGTAACACACTTGGGAGAAGGAAAGAAACGGCCAGACATAGGTAAAACTGGAGTTAATGGAAGAGTATGTATCTCAGTGCCTCAATTTCCTTTCACTGAGTGATTGGAGGCACCTAAAACATGTTTCTTTTCTTGTCACTTCTTATTCTAGTCTTTTAAAGTCTTTCCATTGTTATTGCTCTAAACTGCTTTTCTCCAAAGCCAATTAACAGGTAAATAATAATTTGTAAAGCAACAAGCAGCACTTCATTAGCACAGCACTGGAGTAAAGAGGTTCTTCGCTCCAAGTAAATTGAACTGTTCTCCTCTTCCTGAATATAAAATATACGCCAAATTAAAAATTAATTTTAGTTATAGTGATTTAACCAAATTAGCCAGTGTTAAACACAAACGGTAGAATTGGCATTTGCCCCTGTGCTACTGAAACAGTTTGCTATTGGCAAAAACATATCTTCATTATAGTCAGTGACAGTGATTTGCATGAACTAAAGAAGCTCACATGGATCTATATTCTTTGTAAAAATCAGAACAATGTCAGTCGAAGGGGCAAGACAACAATCGGCATTACTTTTAGGATGAGACTAAGGCAAATGCAGATGAGAGGCAGCTAATTCCAACAGCACTTCAGGAAGCACCCAGCCCTGGAGAGAAAGCCTCACTGTGAAGCCATCTGGGCAGCATGTGCCCAGCAGGAGTCCCCAGCACAGGGCCCAGGGTCTGCTAAGTTGCACTGCAGACCCTCAGTTCACTGTAGGCGTGGGCTCTTGTTAGACACCAGGGTAAGATCTGCGATGAGATTTCCTCTGTCGATGGTGAAGAGGTGACAC